TCTTGTAGATAGGCGTCACATTTGCAAGCCTCCAGTTGAGTGGGACCTTCCCAATTAGCCAGAACTGCTGGTAAATGACGGAAAGTGACTTGGCAAGCACTTTTGCCAGCTTCCTCAGGACCCTGGGGTGGATCCCATCTGGTTCCATAGACTTGTGTACATCTAAGTGGTGTAGCAGGTCGCTAACCACCTCTTCATGGATTATGGGAGCTTCACTGTGCTCTCCATCCCTGACTTCCTGCTCAGGTGACTGGGTACCCAGAGTACTGCTGGTTTTCCTACTAAAGGCTGAGGCAAAGAAAGCATTAAGTACCTCAGCCTTTTCCTCATCCCTGGTCACTATGCTTCCCCCCACATCTACTAGAGAGGGGAGACTCTCCTTAGTCCTCCTTTTGTTGCCAATGTATTTATAGAAAACCTTTTTATTGTCTTTAACAGCACTAGCTAGATTGAGTTCCAGCTGCACTTTGACCCTTCTAATTTTCTCCCTGCACAGCCTCACAGTAACCCTGTACTCCTCCTGTGATGCCTGACCCTTCTTCCAAAGATCATAAACTCTTCTTTTTCCTGAGCTCCAGCCAGAGTTCTGTGTTCACCCAGGCTATATGCAGTCCTGTAATTCCAGTCCATAGGTAATTTGCTGAACTGATTTGAAGTTCTACTGAAGATATCAATACGCCGTACAAATACAGAAATTTTTAATGTGCTATAAGATGCAGGCTAAGTAGATAGCATAGGCCAATAAATAGGTCTCAAATATTAGCAGAAAAAAAAAATAGTGCCTCCTTTTCCAAGAAAACAGGAAAAACAAAGATGAGCTAGTTTTTAGGTTATTATACAGGAAGTTTTTTTAACTTTGATTTAGATCAAGTTGTGGTTATCAAGTTTTGAAGTTTTGGTTGGTTTTTGAAGTTGTAGTTGCAAATCTTTGAAGGAATTTCATTTTAGGTCTTGGTTTTCAGATTGAAATGATGAAAGGAAATGTGATTTCACGTATTAATGTGTATCTTCAAGACCTGGAAAAGTTTAAAGCTCGTTGGGATCAGCTAAAGCCAAGTGATGATGTCATTGAAACAGGTGATCAAGATGTGCTTGAAAAAAGTGCTCAGATCATAAAGGAGAAAGAAAAAGAGTTTGATGAACTCGAAACCATGAAAGAAAAGCTCATGTATGTATTTTATTTCCCTGTATAACTTATTCATTAATATATGGATTAATGTATTTTGCAGCAGTATTATCTCAGAAAATGTTAACTAATTTTTATTACAACAGATGATATAAGGAATTTAATTTTATATGTATTTTACATGTTTTTCATTAGTTTTTCAGGGTTCTATCTGTTGATTTTACATAACATGAATTTCCCAAGCTAAGATTTCTAGAGGTTTTTGGAATGAAATTTTGAGAAATCTCTTAGGCTTTCATATAAGGGAGTCTCTGCACTAAAGGCTTGATTCTGACTTCTGAAATTCTCACTCTGAGAAACTTTGGGATATTGGTCCAAAAAGGGTCAGTTATTACTTCAATCTTCTTGTAACTTAAGTGGGCAAGTGCTGACTTCTCCCATTTCTTGAGTAAGTGTCCTATCTGATAGACTATTGTGCAAAAGGAAAGAATTTCTCCTCCAGGTGCCTACGTTCAGTCAGCTCGTTATTGCAAATCTTGAGTGGATGGAGTTTTCTGTTGAAATTCTTAGGTTAGTACTTAAATATGGTAGTAAATAAAATTAGCATATTCTTTCTGCTAACAGGAAGAAACGATCAATTAAAATTATTTTCCTTCAAGCTTTGTTTCTAGGGGTGAAGTAATTAACTTTTCTCATAAATGAGAAAGAAATGAAACTTTGTGGAAAGTAGTTGTGAATATGGGAGATGGTTGCTTTGTAAGAGAATGATCGTTTGTATTTCTTTATTATTTCTATTCAAGAAGAAGACTATAAGGAAATTGAAGTTGGTAACGTTGTTCTTCAATGGAGCTAATGGCTTTTCTTAAAAAAGTAGAATTATTTTTTGTATATGATACCATCTCTTAAACTGTAATTCTGTAGTGGAATTATGTAGTTTATAATGCAATGATCTTTTTATTCAGTGAAGAATGCCATCATTTTAAATTGGAAGAGCCTGACTTCTCATTGTCGAAAGTTGTACAGCAAGATATTAAGAGCTGTGCAGAAGTCTGGGCATTGTATGAAGAGTTTTGTCAAGGTTTTCAGGAAAAAGCCAAAGAGGACTGGATTACTTTTAGGTATGATTTGGATTACTTTTAGGTATTATTTTGTTACTTTATTTTTCATGGACATATGTGTTTGGTTGTAGTACTGTGTTGTTATGACCTTTTATATTTGATTTTCACACAGGAGTAAAACATACCTTTTTGAAGAGTTTTTGTTTAACTGGCATGACAAAATGAGGAAGATGAAAGAATACACTGTAATGGCAGTAAAGTTGCAAAAAGAAGTGGACAAATATAAAGTAAGATGATAATTACAAAAAAGGTTATAAAACAAAAATTATTTTGGTATTACTGGCTAATATACTTCATTTGGTAGCTTATTTTTAGCTCATATAATAAAATCACTTACAGTTTAACAAAATATCTTCTGATACTCTTTTGAACATTTCACTTACTTTTGTGAACCTTTCTGGTCCTTACAGTGAACAGGAGGGTTACTACAGTTTACATAAACATACATTTAGCAGTCAGTTTTCCTCAGAGTTATACTCCTAAATGTTAAATCCAGGAATTGCAAAAAAATTTACTTCAGTTAAAGAATGTAATTTTTTGTTTTCTTTGAATAGCATATCGCTCTATAATAAAATATAGTTTTTATAGAGACTAGATGGATTCACGTGTGCATTTTTCCTATAGACAATAATTCCACTCCTAAAATATGTAAGAGGAGAACATCTTTCTCCAGACCATTGGCTGGATCTCTTTCGTCTTCTGGGTCTTCCCCGAGGTACTACGCTTGAGGGTTTGTTATTTGGAGATCTGCTAAAAGTGACAGATGCCATTATAGAAAAAGCAACAGAACTTAAGGTATGAATAATTTCAAACAAATGTACTATATTTTATTTTATGGTTTATTTTATGTAGTATATCTTGTTGTGCATAAATACTTATGTTTTTATTACTGTAGAAATAGAATATACATTATATTTTTGATGGAAAGTTTATTGCAAGCTCTGTAATTTCAAATGACATTTATTTATACTTTTAAATAGGATTTGAATTGCCGGGCCCAAGGTGAAGTCACAATCCGAGAAGCATTACGTGAGCTTGAACTCTGGGGAGTTGGAGCTATCTTTACATTAACAGATTATGAAGATAGCCAAGGCAAGACTATCAAGCTTATTAAAGACTGGAAGGACATAGTCAACCAAGTTGGAGATCATCGCTGTCTTCTACAGTCCCTGAAGGACTCTCCATATTACAGAGGTTTTGAAGATAAAGTGTCCATCTGGGAGAAAAAACTGGCTGAGTTGGATGAGTATCTGCAGAATTTAAACCAAATTCAAAGGAAATGGGTCTATTTGGAACCGATATTCGGACGTGGAGCTCTGCCCAAAGAACAAGCTCGTTTTAACAGAGTTGATGAAGACTTTAAGTTAGTGTTATGGAATGCGACTTATTTTTTATAGTATCTTTGACATGTGTAGGCTAGAACATTTTCCATGGTGAAAATATATGTGAAACAGTTGTAATACGTAAGGAGGTGAAGGTCAGCAACAGGAATTCAGTAGACATAGATGTGTGACAGTGACATAGCTCTGATTGAAGGTGGTAACGTAGTTTTCATTTAATGGGGTACATGTGAAGAAGGGAATCAAATGAAACATCAAAGATCGTGAACAAGGCAGGCAAGCACAAGATCAGTCTTGTCAACAGAAGCAGAGGTGCTGAAATTGTTCTTTGAATAATTGTTTTTTGTTGAAGACAAGCACCTTGTTCACTAAGTACACAGGTGGACTTTTGCAAGAAACAGAGGGTTTATGTGTTCCAAACAAGTCAAGGAGTTAAAAAGGGAGATTTTAGAAATGTAGAAATATGTGTACAATAATCTGTCTTGATTTGAGTAAAATTACTTCTTAGAAGGAAATAAAAGTCAAGAATTGGATTTTCTTGGTTTTGGGTAGAGAAATTTTAGCAAGAAACAGTTGTCATTAAGTTACATTGGAAAGACATCGATGTGAATTCTGAAACGTTTCATAATTAATACTGAAAACTGAAAGTTATATATCAGATATTTGGAAAACTTACCTGTGTTTTAATTTTTATTTACATAACTACTTGTATATCATACATAGATTAAAATTGTAGTGGTTGTTTTATGAATTATTCATTTTTTTCTGTAAAGATCCATTATGTCGGATATCAAGAGTGACAATAGGATAACATCACTGAATTCCCGGACAGGAATCAAAAATACCTTAATTACCATACTTGACCAGCTTCAGAGATGTCAGAGATCTTTGAATGAGTTTTTGGAGGTACAGCTGTTATTAATATAGTTTTCTATAAAGAAAGTAAATAAGTTTGAATTTAAATCAACAAAACTGATTGATTTTGTTTTTATATAGGAAAAGCGTTCAACATTTCCAAGATTCTATTTCATTGGAGATGATGACTTATTAGAAATTCTAGGACAGTCCACAAATCCTCTGGTTATCCAGTCTCATCTTAAGAAACTTTTTGCTGGTAATACATTAATCTCTATTTGTGAAATATACTTATTTAGGAACAGGGTTCTTCAAAGCTAATTAATCTGTTGAAGACTCTTTTTTTCCCTCTTTCTGCTACTATTCACTAAGGAATTAATGTTTGAATTTAACAATATATAACTTCATTGTCGTTTTCTGATTAATAGGCATTCATAATGTGAGTTTTGATGAAGAATTTAAATACATACTTGCCATGAAGTCTGTAGAAGGAGAAACTGTGCCACTCAGAAATAAAGTTCTTCTGTCAAATGATGTGGAGGTAAGAAAGTCGCATTCAAGTATAGTTCAAGAGTCTTTGAGAAATTATTTTGTAATGTAACTTTTGAGGTTTTTTTCATCTCTTTGTCAGGTGTGGCTAAACAGTTTGGCTTTGGAGATGAAGGAAACCCTGAAAAAAATGTTAATTGACTGTGTTGATGCTGGAAAAAGATCACAAGGTTCAATTGATCCATCGCTCTTTCCTTCCCAGGTAGTAGTTGATCCAGTAATGCCAGTGTGTAGTCTTAGATTTAGAAAATAAGTTATTTCTTGAATTTTCATAAAGAAGTGTACATATAGATTTGGAAGAAAATAACCCCAAACAAATCCATTTTATTGACTTGATAGTATGGAGAAATTCTTAAAAAATATGTGTTTTTATAATTCTTTTGTAAACATTTGGAATACTCAAGTCTCTTACATAACACCTGATCTAATATCCATCTATTAACTTTGATGTAAATCTTGATCTTGTTTGATAGTGAGTGTTACATGCAGAGCTGCTAAGACTTGGTAAGATAAAAAAGCCCTTTCTGAATCTGATTAAGATACAGTTTCTAAATCTTAGCTGTATAAGCAGAGATAATAATGAACATGAAATTATTTTATTCAATTTTGACCAGTATCACATAGAACCACTCAAAATCACAGAATGGTTGTGGTGGGAAGGGACCTCTAGAGGTAATCTGGTCCACCCCCCCTGGAGGGCCACCTATAGTCAGTTCGCCCAGGACCATGTCCAAGCAGCTTTTTAATATCTTCAGGAACGGAGACTCCACCATCTCCCTGGGCAACCTGTTCAGTTGCTCCGTCACTGTCATGGTAAAAAAAATGTTTCCTAATGTTCAGACAGAGCCTCCTGTGTTTCAGTGTGTGCTCATTGCCTCTTGTCCAGTCATGGGCACCTCTGAAAAGAGCCTGGCTCTGTCTTCTTTGCACTGTCCCTTCAGGTATTTATAGAAATTGATGTTTCCCCACTGAGCCTTCTCTTCTCCAGGCTGAACAGTCCCAGCTCTCTCAGCCCTTTCTCATAGGAGAGATACTCCAGTCCCTTAATCCCTTTCCCCTCTAGCAGGTATTGTAGTGGTGGAAGTCCAAGTCCTAGAGGATCAGGGCCTGTCAATGTGAGGCTGCTAATATCTGACTGTAGAGGTCCTGATCCACTTGTTCTTCCTGGTCAGGTGGCCCGTAGTAGATACCCACTGTAATGTCACTTTGACTTGTCCTCTCTTTAATCCTAATCCATAAACTCTCAGATGGCTCCTTATCCGTCTGCAGACACAGCTCAATGCACACCAGCTGCTCTATTATGTAAACAGCAACTCCCCCACCTCATCTTCCCTTCCTGTGCTTCCTAATGAGCCTGTATCACCACTGCAGTCATGGGAGCTACCCCACTGCATCTACATGATCCCAACAAGATCATAGTCCTGCAACTGCACACAGATCTCTAATTCAGCATGTTTATTCTTCATACTGTGTGCATTAGTGTACAGGTGCTTTAAGACAGGTGCTCCAGCATGTTGAATTTCTGGAGAGGGTTTAGAGGATTTCTCCATAATGACACCTTGTGGTCAGTTCCTTGCTGATGTGCAAGTGCTCGAGGTGACACCACTTAAGCCCCATTTTTTTTTTTTGTGATCCCTTCCTGTCACTTCATCCCATGCCATTTGCTCAGTGTTCCTGTCTGTCACTCCCTCATAGGACTGCTGATTACTCTCTCCCTCCCCTAGAATGTAGTTACTGTTACAGATCTTCAAATTGGCATAATCGAGGAAATTTTTGTTACAAATCTTTCCAGTTGCAAGTTTGACTGAACCTTCATAGCTCAGACAGGGCTTTTCCAGAGAACACAAAGTAATTAGAACATAAGTGGAATGTTAGAAACTAGAATGCAAAATACCATATTAGGAGATCAGTGAAACAAAAAGTTGAAGGTGTTTCTGAGCCTGTTGAATATGGACTTATCATGCCTACAGTATGGTAGTTTCCATCTGACATATCATTTAATGGGAAAAGATACGTTAAAGATTTTGCTACCACATGCTGTAGAATGGCTAAGGGACTTGCTGTATTATATCATATTGCAAAGTTTTGCTAAATTTTGTCAGGTTTTAAGATGACTGTATTTGTTCTTAAGGGCATAGCAAGTGTGTAGCTTTGTTTAAAAATGATACAGTAAAATGCTTTAAATAGCAGACATAATGAGCATTTGCAAATGAATTGAAAAAAACTCTTTATGTCTTCTGTATTTATAAAATGTTATTTGAACTTTCTCTTCCAAAGATTCTTTCCTTGGCAGAACAAATTCAGTTCACTGAAGATGTTGAAAGTGCTATCAAAGACCATAATCTGCCACAATTAGAATTAGAACTCATGGCTAAACTGGAACATTATACTAGCATTGATACTAGTATAGAAGATACTGGGAGTACAGGTATAAAAATGATAATTATTATATAATTCTTCATAAGGAATATGTAGTTGTATAGTATTTAACATTGTGCTTATTTAAACAGGAAATTATATACAACTGTCTCAATTTGAGTTCATAAAGTTGAGTTACATAAAGTTACACAGCAATTATTGCCAAGATTAGTGTATTTAGTATTTCAGTGAACAATAGATTTTTACTTAGATTAAAATAAGATCTTGGAGCATTTATATATCTGCAAATCTCTTTTTTTTTTTTCTAATTTTGTTTGTTTTATGTATTTACTGTTAATTTACCCTCACATACTGAACTGTTCTCTACTGTTATGTTTCATGGGAACTGGCCAAACAGCAGTTGGGGTACATTATGTCATGCCAATATATTCTGTACGATGATGTAGGTAATTCTCTTTTTCCATCTTAGATGTATACATCTGAATCTGAACTAAAGTTCTTGAGTACTTCTGTAGCAAAACCAGTAAACTAGTTAATCTCAAGACATAATTGTTCTGAATCTCGCATAGTCCAGACGAGTTAGAATAATTATGCCTTTGGGTGCTTATTCCTCTCTTTGGACCAGAATGGAGGCTTTGAATGACTACCTCAGATGTACATCTCTATAGTGTGGGTTGGGTGAGATGGCTTTTACCCTATATGTATAAAAAGACTCAATTTGACATATAGTTGACAATCTCCCACCGCATTTGTATAGCTGCTTAGTGGATTAAATTGTAGTTTAGAATTTATGAACAGTTAGCATCTAATATATTAATTGGGAATAGAATTCATATCACCTACCTTCAGCAGTCCATAAGTTAAATCTTTTATCTAAGCTCCATTTCGGTGCTCTTTCTATAGCCACTGGAGAAGTGTCATCAGTTATAGAACAATGTTCATTCATTCTGTTAAATAACACATCTACAGTAACTTTTTGTTTTGGATAATAGGTATGGTTTTGAAGCGAGTTCCTTTTTATCCTCACTTCCTTTGGTTTAATTCCATCATGCAATGGTACAGGAGCACACAAACTGGATTTCTTTTCAATGAAACTAAATTAAATATGGTCTCAGAGTACACTTAATGCACCCAACCTGCTAATGAACATTAATTCCACATCACCCTAATTAGTCTGAGTAAAATCTCCAGAGTGTGTGTAGCATGATTTTCAGATCCTCAGCAGACAATTAACAGATTGTGCCACACTGATTACTGAAGTGGAGATAGCTGTAAATACTCCTAGAATAAACTGCTTTCTAGAAAAGCTTCTGTCTCTCTATTGAGTGTAGATGCAAACAAAATCACTTCTAAATGACTGGAGTTACATGATTCACGTTCTTTGTGAGGATCTCATTTTATACTGTTTGCTTTAGATAATAAAAAACATTTCTATATATAATTGAAATGAGATCTGAATGATGTCTGCTGAAAACAGAAAGCAGCATAGTGAGCCTGAGTATGGGTAACGTGTATTTTCCTTACTACACCGTTGTGATTCTTTTTTTGGTGGTGGTTATTTGCAGGATCAGGAAACCTTGAGCTCAAACTTAAAGCTCTGATTCTTGATATCATTCATAACATTGATGTGGTGAAGCAGCTGAATCAATGTCAAGTTCACAGTGTTGAAGACTGGGCTTGGAAGAAGCAGCTGAGATTTTATATGAAAGACCAAAAATGTTACATTCAGATGGTAGATGCTGAACTTCAATATACCTATGAATATCAGGTGTTGTATTTTTAATTTTACCTGGTGGCTTTTATATATGTGTCAAACACTTAATCATTTCACACACACTACTGATTGCCTTCCCACTGTTGGGTTTTTTTGCAACATTGTTGTGTCCTTAGCATGCTGTTTCACAGAGAATACTAAAAGTTAAGGTAATAATTTTCATTCTTGATATTGATGGAGTAAATATAAGTTGTATGGAAAGCAGCTGCAGTATCGTATTAATATTTTCTAATATGCTTGCTACTTTTATATATTAGAGTGCAGTTTCATCAGTGTTGACTCCTTTTCTGTAATTCTAAAAAAAACTTGCACAATGCTTTGACATAAAGTCAGGAAAACTTTATAACTGTAAACAAATTTGTATCCTTCATGAGACAGTAATCTTGACTGTTGTGTTATGTTTTCAAATTAATGACCTATGAATGAAATTAATGAAATTAAATTGTAAATAATTTCTGTCTACCAATCAGTACAATTTGTTTTGTTTCTGCAGGGTAATTCCCCTAAACTTGTTTATACACCCTTGACAGATAAGTGTTACCTAACTCTTACTCAGGCTATGAAGATGGGCCTTGGAGGAAATCCCTATGGTCCAGCTGGAACTGGAAAGACAGAATCAGTAAAGGCCCTAGGTGGACTTCTTGGAAGACAAGTATTAGTCTTTAATTGTGATGAGGTGAATATGGTTCTGTATAGTTTGGGAAATGGATATCTATGCCCATACTTCATAAAGCAATATTATATTATAGAAATACTTTAGATAATTTGTCAGTTTCCATTAGAAGTTTGTGGATATTTCCAGTGACATATTTTTTAATACATGCAATTAGAGTCTTTCATTATTTTCTTATTATTTGAATTTTGTTAGCATTCTTTTTAATTTTAAGGGCATTGATGTGAAGTCGATGGGGCGCATATTTGTGGGCTTGGTGAAGTGTGGTGCCTGGGGCTGTTTTGATGAGTTCAATAGACTTGAGGAAGCTGTACTGTCTGCAGTATCCATGCAGATTCAGACAATTCAACATGCATTGAAGAAACACAGTCCCGTATGTGAGATGCTTGGCAAAAAGGTACAGCAAAACTTACTTATTTTCTTTTTATAAAAATACTCTGCGTCAAACTTGAAAACGGACTGCTGTAACTAAACATAGTGCCACCAACATTTCTCAGTACTGTTTCATATAACAAGATAATATTACAATGTACTTTTAATGCTAGGTTGAAATGGATCACAATTCTGGAATTTTTATCACTCTGAATCCTGCTGGAAAAGGCTATGGAGGAAGACAAAAACTGCCTGATAACCTCAAACAACTTTTCAGGCCAGTTGCTATGACTCATCCAGACAATGAGCTCATTGCAGAAGTGATTTTGTATTCAGAAGGCTTTAAAGATGCTAAAACACTCGGTAGAAAATTAGTGGCTATTTTTAATCTAGCAAGGTAAGCTTTATTTTTTTTTCCTTTCCTTTAGTCATGATACTTCTAATGCTCTTCCCTCCTGCTCTTATTTTATCATTGATCTTTGTGCTTATCTAACTGCCATGTTATTTCTTCTCTATCTAGTCTGTGCCAAAGCATGACTGTAGGGATACAATTTACCCATAATTTCTGTTAATTTTTTGAAATATTTTATGACTTCAATATTGCAGAAAGTTGTGTGTCAGAAGTGAAACTAGACTTAAAACTGCAGGTTTGGAGTCGTTGCAAGTTTTACATTTAATACAGCTCTTAAATCTGAATAATATACCATGCAAATCTCTGTAGATGCTAATTTAACTTACAAAATAAAAGTATTGCAGTATATTGGGAGGTTCAGATGTTAAAATATCTGTAATGTAGTTATAATCTTGTGATTATAAGTGACAAAGTACTGCTCCCCTATTACACTCGCTCAATGTGAGCATATGAATGCTCACAAGCATTGTGTTGAATTTAGACTCTTGAAGTTGTTGAAATGGAAGTGAGTATTTGGTTATAAGTATGCGTATTAGAGATAGCAAAGTTCAGAAGTTTTATTTAATGCTATTAAGGACAATAATAAATACATTAGGTGTTGAATATACTGCTGCTGAAACTTTCAGGGTGTCATTGCTTGTATCTCTGAAATGCATTTCAGATGGCACTACTGATCAGTTTTTCTTTAGCCCAAAACTGTACTATAAGCATATTCATTTGCCAAACAAAAATATCAGGTGCTGTCACCTAAAGCTTATTACGGTATTGCTGTTTTTAAATTTAGGGAACTTCTGACGCCACAGCAGCACTACGATTGGGGTTTACGAGCATTGAAGACTGTTTTGAGAGGGTGTGGCAATCTTCTTCATCAGCTGAAGAAAAGCGAAGCAAAGCAAGAAAGTAAGGTTGACCATGCCAGACTTTTGGTTATTTCGGGTATTGCACAGATATCATTCACGTACATACATACAGCTTTCTTGCTCACTGGAGTTTTGAGAAGCCATGGCTTGGATCTGGAGGCAATTTAAAAAAAAAAAAAGACCTGTGAAAGTCCACCTTCATTATTCCAGATTGAACTTTTATATGATAAGAATATAGATAATAGGACTTTGTTCTGGGTTGATTTTGAGTGAATCTCAAATACTCTCATTTTCACTCTGCTTAGGTCAGGAAAGTTGATACTCTTATGTTGTCATTATTCATCAGTCATCAGACCATTTTGTTTCTATGTGATGTTTGCTAAAATTGTCACATAGCATTAGATTCAGATTGATAGGCAGAGATAAATATAAGGACAGGTAGAAATGATAGAAATGTATTGGACTAGACTGGGTCACTGTATTTTTAAAAAACTTCTTATATGATTGTTGTTTAGATGTTAAATGAGTGGGAATTAAGAGGGTGGGATGGATGAGCATTTCACATCTTTAGGACACAGCTATTGCTTTTTGTTAGCTTAAACAGGATGTATCTGAAAAATTTTAGAGACAGCCTTTGTTTACAAATCGTGGAATAACAAATGGTCTGACAACTTTAAAGAATTTGTCATTGACTATAGTTTGGATCTGCCAAAGAAGAATTACCAGCAATGTGTTCCTATCACTGTTTCTTGCTATGACATTTTAGCTTCATGTTTAGATACGTGAAATTTGCTGAAACTGGTCTGGTTTAAAATACAATTTTCAATAACCCTGCGAAAGGCAAGATGGATGGTTTTAACTTACAATTTAACTTACTAGTTAAACCTAGAAAATTTCCTTTGTGTTTTTTTGTTTGTTTTGGTTTTATTTGTTTGTTTGGTTTTTATCTCTTAGCTTGAAAATAGATAATTTTTGAAAACAGAGAATATTTCCAACAAATGCAGTTTTCTGTTTCTTCATGTTTGCTTGTATTATTGAATCAAAATCCTTTGGCATGTCATAATGTTGCCCATGTTCTTAAATATTGCTTAAATTTTGTATACTTACTTTAGTAAAGCAGTTTAACCTTTATAAATCAAGTTCCTTAATGTCAACATTTTTCCTCTTAACTGTTTATCATGCTGATTAGAAGACTTGCCTGTAGAAGCTTTTAAGACATTGTTCAAGATTAAAAACCTTGAACTTTTTCCAAATTCTGGAAGGGTACACTGATCCTTAATCTCTGGAATATTTGAGAAAAATGGGGCAATCATGCATTCAGAAGGAGGGCAGAAACACAGGATGATTTTCACCTGTGGTTCCTAATCTTGCTCTCTGAAAATGTATGTGTTTTACATGAGAAAGTAATTTAATTTAAAAAGCAACAAAATAAAGATCAGAGCCCTATGCCTTTCCCATCATGAGTATCTATTTTTCTGGCAGAGTAAAGCTTTCTTGTGGCTGTTTTCATTCTGGTCCCAAAAACACATTTCTGTGGTGCTTCACATTGAAGAGGAGTTGTGGAGAGTGTTTACTTCTGGAATATTCATAGTTAATTAGGATGCGCCTGGGAGATGTGACTTTAGACTGCCTCTGGCAGAGCAGAGTCTAGAATTTAGGTTCTTAATTTCTTTCATGAGTGCTTTAACATGTAAGCTATCATGCACAACTGCTCTTAGTCCCACTCCAATCATTAGGCTATTATGTACTATCCAGCCAGCATCATAACCATCTCATATCTGTATAAAATGCATTTGTGAGCATATGTGATAACTTCAGTAAGGCACTCATCTAACTTCCAAGTAGAATGGTATGTGAACTGCACTGTAGTCTGTGCTGTGATTCCACCTTCAGCAGCTTAGCATTATGGGCTCAAGAGCTGATATATTCCAAGTACAAAAAAAACCAAATAAACAAAAAAACAACAAACAGCTGAAACTGATCTGGCTTTTTTGCTTTTATTTCCAGTTAATGAAAGTAACATGGTGGTTCAAGCTCTGCGGCTTAATACCATGTCAAAGCTTACTTTTGCAGACTGTGCACGTTTTGATGCACTGGTTAAAGATGTATTTCCTGGCATTGACTTTAAGGATGTGGAGTATGCTGAGTTAACTACAGCTTTACAACAAGTCTTTGAAGAAGCAAACTTGGAAATTATAAGCACCCAGGTAAACATTGACTACAGCAACAAAAGAACAGGAGTTATTCTGAACTAGAACTGGTTAATATTACATTAATTTGACACATTTCTGTTTACTTTTGAAATAAATCTTGTAAAAAAAGTGAGTATATAAAAAATATGATAGATCAGTTGTGTAATTGAAAGAAAAATAGTACTAGGAAAATTAAGATGTGCTTATATGACACAGTTTCATTTAAGCCAAGTACAAACACCAATGAATGTTTTGGACAGTGAAAGAATTAAATATGTCAACATTTTTTTATCAAGCAGTTCTGTGTTCCATTTATATTTATTTATTGTAGGACTGGATATAGTTTTTTCACTAAAAGTTCATTAATTCTTCAGTAAAAATATGCCAAAAGAGGGTTGATATTTTTATATTAGTAATTTAGTGAAATGTTTCTAACATGCAAAGTAAATTTCTTTATATTCTTTAGTATAATAATTTTTAATTACTTCTGCAAATATATATTGTTTCAAAAAATAAAATCGTAGGAACAAAGTGACTGCATGCAAAGTAAATTGGAAAACATTGAAATGAACATGATTGATTTAGCTTTACAACTTCACATAGCCATTATCTCTTCTATTATCTAGATCAAGAAGGCTTTGGAATTATATGAACAACTACGCCAAAGAATGGGTGTGGTTATTGTAGGTCCAAGTGGTGCAGGTAAATCAACACTTTGGAGGATGTTAAAGACAGCACTTGGTAGAACCGGCAAAGTAGTGAAACAGTATACTATGAATCCCAAAGCTATGCCTCGACATCAGTTGCTCGGCCATATAGACATGGATACCAGAGAATGGTCTGATGGTGTGCTTACAAATAGTGCTCGACAAGTGGTACGAGAACACCAAGGTATGTTTTTCAGGGAGTTATACATCATTATGCTTAAATTACCGAAATAGTTTCTTTTCAGTTACATTTTGAAATTATGCTGTTATTTGTGGATAGCATTTTGCCACCATTTTGGTGGCAATCATAGTCAAGAACACTGAATTTTGTGATAAGAAAGCAAAAATAGACATCGGAATGTAAAGCGTATAAGAAATATCTTCATAGAACTTACATTTAAGTTATGATGAAGGAAGAGAATTAAATAATGTTAAAATAGCAAGAGGCGATACTCGAAGTGTTTTTCTTGGGCCTGATTTTTTTTTGTCTGGAAATAGATATTACTTCATGGATAATTTGTGATGGTGATATTGATCCTGAATGGATTGAATCTCTGAATTCCGTTTTGGATGACAACAGATTGTTGACTATGCCCAGTGGAGAAAGAATTCAATTTGGCTCAAATGTCAATTTTATATTTGAAACTCATGACCTTAGCTGTGCCTCTCCTGCTACAATATCTCGAATGGGAATGATCTTTCTGAGGTAAGTCGCAGGATTATTTAGGCCTGTTTAGGGACTTGGTTGGTAGAGTCCCTTGGGAGGCAGTTCTGAAGGGTAAAGGAGTCCAGGAAGTCTGGACACTCTTCAAGAAGGAACTCTTAAAGGCACAAGAGCAGGCTGTCCCAGTGTGCTGAAAAATGAGCTGTCAGGGAAGAAGACTGGCCTGGCTGAACAGAAAGCTCTGGCTGGAGCTCAAAAAGAAGAGTTTATGATCTTTGGAAGAAGGGGCAGGCAACTTAGGAGGAGTACAAGGTTGCTGTGAAGCTTTATAGGGAAAAAAACTAGAAGGGCCAGAGCCCGGCTAGAACTTAACCTGGCTAGTGCTGTTAAAGACAATAAAAAATGTTTCTATAAATACATTGGCATCAAAAGGAGGACTAAGGAGAATCTGAATCCTTTACTTGTTGCAGGGGGGAAACATAGTGACCAGAGATGAGGAAAAGGCTGAGGTACTTAAGGCCTTCTTTGCCTCAGTCTTTAGTAGGAAATCTAGTAGTACTCCAGGTACCCAGTCCCCTGAGCGGAGGGGCAGGCATGGTGAGCACAGTGAAGCTCCCATAATCCATGAAGAGGTGGTTAGCGAGCTGCTACACCACTTAGATGTACACAAGTATATGGGGCCAGATGGGATTCACCCCAGGGTCCTGAGGAAGCTGGCAGAAGAGCTCGCCAAGCCACTTTCCGTCATTTACCAACAGTCCTGGCTGACTGGGGAGGTCCCACTCGACTGGAGGTTTGCAAATGTGATGCCCATCTACAAGAAGGGCTGGAGGGAGGATCCAAGGAACTACACACCTGTCAGTCTGACCTCAGTGCCAGGGAAGGTGATGGGACAAATCATCCTGAGTGCCATCACAAGTCACATGCAGGACAACCAAGCGATCAGGCCCAGTCAGCATGGGTTCAGGAAGGGCAGGTCCTGCTTGAATAATCTTATCTCCTTTTATGACGAGGTGACCTGCTTGGTGGACGAGGGGAAGGCTGTGGACGTTGTCTACCTGGACTTTACTAAGGCCTTTGACACCGTCTCCCACAGCATTCTCCTGGAGAAGCTGGCTGGGCATGGCTTGGACGGGCATACGCTTTGCTGCGTCAAAAACTGGCTGGATGGCCGAGCACAGAGGGTTGTGGTGAATGGAGCTAAATCCAGTTGGTGACCAGTCACAAGCGGTGTTCCCCAGGGCTCAGTTTTGGGGCCAGTCCAGTTCAACATCTTTATCAATGATCTGATTTAGTGCTCCCTCAGTAAGTTTGCAGATGACACTAAGTTGGAAGGGAGTGTTGATCTGCCTGAGGGTAGGAAGGCTCTGCAGAGAGACCTGGACAGAATGGTTTGATGAGCCAAGTTCAGTTGCATGAGATTCAACAAGGCCAAGTGCCGGGTCCTGAACTTGGGTCACAACAACCACATGCAATGCTACAAGCTTGGGGAGGAGTGACTGAAGAGCTGCCTGGAGGAGGGGAACCTGCAGATGTTAACAGTTGGCTGACCATGAGCCAGCAGTGTGCCCAGGTGGCCAAGAAGGCCAATGGCATCCTGGCTTTTGTCAGAAACAGTATGGCCAGCAGGACCAGGGAAGTGATCCTTTCCCTCTACTTGGCCCTGTGAGGCCGCACCTCAAATACTGTGTTCAGTTTTGGGCCCCTCACTGCAAGAAGGACATTGAGGTACTGGAGCATGTCTAGAGAAGGGCAACAAAACTGGTGTGGGGTCTGGAGCACAGGTCTTATGACTAGTGGCTAAGGGAACTGAGTTTGTTTACCCTGAAGGAAAGGAGGCTGAGGAAGACCGTATCACTACATCTGAAAGGAGTTTGCAGTGAGGTGGGTGTCAGTCTTTTCTCCCTGGTAGCTAATGAATGTTAGGACAAGGGAAAATGGCCTCAAGTTGTGGCAGGGGGGGGGTTGGGTGGGTGTTTGGGGGGAGTTTTTTGGATATTAGGAGGAATTTCTTTACTGAAAGGGTTGCCAAGCACTGGAACAGGCTGCCCAGCAAGGTGGTGATGTCACCATCCCTGGAGGTGTTTAAAAGACAAGTAAATGTCGTGCTTAGGAACATGACCTAGTGGCGGACTTAGTAGGGCTGGACTCAGTGATCTTAAAGGTCTTCTTAAACCGAAACCATTCTATGATTCTATGATTATTACATACTTTTAAAGTAAGTAAATATACTTACATTTCTTGAGAGACAGTCTAAAGTGGATGGAGAAATTTAATTATTTGCTTGCACTACTAATGAAGCAAACCACTGGGGAAGTTTACTTTAGGTTGCATGTCCCTTCTGTACAGTTGTTATTTTCTTCTTGTTATATTCTTTTGGTTAATATATCTGAGAGTTTTTGAAAGAGACATCCTGGATTCTTTGTGTGTGACACGTACAGAGCCCAAATACTGGTTAGAAATTCTTGTTAAACTATTTCCCTGAACTTTTCCTGTAATTTGTTGTTCCTTTGAACCTGTCTATGTGAAGATGTGGATGGCTTGTATTTGTCTGAATCTTTGTTTTGAATTAGTGATGAAGATACAGATCTTAATTCTCTGATAAAGTCTTGGCTAAGAAGTCAGCCTGAAAAATGCAGATACAACCTTGAAAATTGGATTGGGGACTACTTTGAAAAGGCTTTAAACTGGGTTGTGAAGAAGGTTAGTAACTGAATACTTAATCAAATTTCAGCTTTTATAAGGATGATCCATTTTTCTAGTTGAACCCTCAAGAGATCATTCATATTAATTTTTAAATTTTTAGTAAAAAAAAAATCTCAGTACTTTTTGTATAGCTGTTTTCTTAATAAGAAAATTCTTATTATCCTATTATTCTGGATCTAATAGATTAGATTGAATCTTTTTTATTCTAATTAGTTTCCAAAAACTGATTGGTGTACTTAAAGTTTTGAAACATTTAATAAGACTTTAACTAATGATGTATGTATTTCTGTGAAACTTACTATCTCTCTTTAATATTCCATACTGGACATTTTTCTGTATATTTTCAAAGATCTAAAAAATCTGAATGTCTAAACTAAAAAATGGAAGAGGGAAGAAGTTTGTTTTCTAGATTTAGCTTTTTGCCTATAACAAAAATAGCGAAAATTTGAAAATTCAGACAGTGTAGACTTAAGCTTATAATAGGTTTGGGAGAAGTGTAATGCTAGGTATCTAAAAAGCTTGCTAGAGGCATATCTGAAAAAGTAGTCTGGTTGTTCAGGATGCTAAATCTTCACAGCTCCCACTGATCTTTCCTGGATTTAAGTATATATAACTGCCGCTTTTTAGTATTATATTAAAAATCTTAACTGAAAGATGTTTTATTAGGTGAAAGGTAGTATGTATGCTAAAAAAGGACAGTAAAAGACCTTTTACCTTATCTGAATTCTAAGTAACGGTCTGCTGTACAGACCATTTGTTTTTGGGAATCACATTTATTTTTAGGAGTATATTTAAATCTTCTACAACTTGCAATTTACAGAATGACTCTGTGATAGAAACAAGTTTAGTTGGAACTGTGATGAACGGGCTGTCTCATCTTCATGGCTGTAGTGATCGTGGACAGTTTATTATTAACTTGTTACATGGTCTTGGTGGCAATCTCAACATGAAATCACGACAAGAATTTGCAAAAGAGGTAATAAGCTTTTTCAGTAAGTTTATTAAAAATTTCTCAGTATATGTAGTAAGAATTATGATTTTCTGTCTTCTAACAATGCAAAGTAATATGTGGAAGAGTAATATGTTACTGTTTAGTTAAGGACTTAATCATAAAGCATATGTATAATATATTGGTTGTTTGTTTTTTTTAAAGATCTTCAGTTGGGCAGAAGAATCTCCACCAGATCCAAGAAAGCCCCTGGACACATATTATGATACTGACAATGGACAGTTAATGCTGTATCAGCTGAAAAAACCTGAAAATCTAACAGCTGATGACTTCAGTAATCTCCAAACACTTCCGGTCGTCCAGACCCCTGACATGCAGAGAGGTTTAGATTACTTTAGACCCTGGCTAGACTTTAACAATAAGCAGCCATTTCTTCTTGTGGGTCCTGAAGGATGTGGAAAAGGGTAAAAAGTATTTCCTATTTTAAGCAAATTATATTTCTAGCTATTTGACTAAGTTTGTAATATTTTTTTATAATGGTTTTATTGTATGACTTTGTGCTGTAATATCACTAATTAAAGAAGCCTTCTGTAGTGGCAAATAGGTAAATTCTTACAGGGATGTACAGGGAAAGTTCAGGCTGCTGCTATACATCTAAGACATCTGAATGAGGCTTTTAGATATGAAACGGAACCTTTGCAAAACCTGTGCTGTCAGGGAGTAACAGCTGAAAGGAACATGAGGTATCCAGTAGCATCCCAAGAGGCCCTAGATGCCTGTGTGCAGACAAATGAATTTAGCTGATCCTGTTGCGTGTCTTAGGTTCCTTTTTTATATGGGTTGATCACTATATACAAGGTATTTAGGCTAGATATTTGTTTTGTGTAGCTATATACTACACTTAGTTAATTTCTTGAATGGAAAGTACTATGATTTTAAAGGCAAGAATATTTAATTCAACAAAGCTCATACATCACCTATTACATTAATACAGGATGTTGTTTATGCATCTTAATTCAAATACTATACAGTATCTTTGCATACACAGTAATTTAATGCATTTATGTATTCCTTATGCTTATATGTATGTACACAATTGCTTTTTTAGGATGCTGCTTCATTATGCATTTTCCCAACTCAGATCCACTCAGATTGCTACCATTCACTGCAGTGCACAAACTACTTCTCAACATCTTCTACAAAAATTAAGTCAAACTTGCATTGTAATCAGTACAAACACTGGGCGAGTGTACAGACCAAAGGACTGTGAAAGTCTTGTTTTGTATTTAAAGGATATCAATCTACCCAAACCTGATAAATGGGGAACGAGCACTCTTGTGGCTTTTCTACAGCAGGTGAATGCTTATGTCTGTTACTTATAAAGAGATTTAAGCATACTCGAAATAGTTTAGTGTATGTAGGAATTACCTACATGGATTATTTTCAGATTTAACATCCTACATCTTTATTGACATTAGTTTTGTTTGTACTTTGATAGAATATGTAGGTTTCAGCCAGAAATAAGATACCATTTTTGTTTGCCTTATATGCATAAATAAAGACAGTACTCATTAGTTATCATGCAGTATGCATATGAATAACAAGAAAATAATCAGGAGTAGTCAGCATGGATTCACCAAGGGCCAGTCATGCTAGACCAACTTGATAAAGTTCTATGATGAAATGACAGGCATGGCAAACGAGGGGAGAGCAGTGGATATAGTCAACTTGGACTTCACTAAGGCTGTTGATGCTGTCTCTCAGAAATTCCTCACAGAAAAGCTGTTGATGTATGGGCTGGATAAGCAGATAGTGAGATGGGTTGAACAGCCAGGCCCAGATAATGGTGAACAGTGGCACAAAATCTAGTTGGAAGCCAGTACCTGTTTAACATCTTCGTTAATGATCTGGACAATGGGACAGAGTGTACCGTCAGCAAGTTTGTAGCTGACACCAAGCTGGGAGGAGTAGTATACCTCTGGCAGTAAAGGAACCAGTAATAACGGTGTACTTCTCACTCATTTTTTTCTACTGTTTTGTATTAAGCTTTGTTGACTTTATTTTAATTAAATATTTATTTAATTATTAAAGGTTCTTACGTATCAAGGATTTTACGATGAAAATCTGGAATGGGTTGGTTTAGAAAACATCCAAATTGTAGCTTCCATGTCTGCTGGAGGAACATTAGGAAGACATAAACTTACCTCCAGATTTACTTCTATTGTTCGTCTCTGTGCAATTGAGTAAGTATGTGGAAATTAGTTTGACTCTCAGAACTCAGGTTTCACTGCTGTTTGTAGAGCCTTTGCTCAATTTAGTCTATGAGAAGATATGGCTGGGGTGGTTTTTTTTTTTTTTTTTTTCTTTTTGGG